AAGTAGATATCACCAAATTTTTTAAGTACCATAAATAAATAAAAACTTATTTTTCTTTCAAGTGAACAAACAGTCAATCATTTCTTAAACTTCGAAACACGTTTCCACTTCGACCATCAATTATTTTTACTTCATGAATTTTTTTATGATGATAATATAAACTAATATATTTAAAAAATGGATTTAAAGGAAATAATCATATTTAAATAGTATATGGATCTCGATAATTTTTGTAAGCGATGATAAAAGAGAACGAAGCACATACATAAGCTTTGGAAAAAGGAATGCCCAACGGCTGAGGTTGACTGTTAGAATTTAGACGATCATTTAGTTTTTAGTAATCATCTTAGATTAGCTTTAGACGACTCTTTGGTAATTATTAAATATATTAAATGAAAACTTTATTTCAGTTTCGATCTATGAAACATACTTCATACGGAATGAAACATTTTCTGTCGGTACAGTACGTACCAGAATGACCAATTAAAAATTTTCAATTAATTTGGAGTCTTTAAATTTGATTTCATTTGTTCGTACTTGTGATTAGGGTATTTCGTGTTATAATCAGTTATTAAGTCAGTAAGTTGACAAATTAAAGTCTGTATTTCGTTGGCATATCATGTGAGAACACACACCGAGACAATTAACCAACACATAGTATAAAATTTGTGATATTATATACAAGCTTGAGTTAACTATTACATAATGATGTAAATCTTATAAATTAAAAATCATATACTACCAAATTATACCAATATTGGATCTGAATGATGACAATAAACCACTATTCATTACTAATTTTTATTAACAATATTTTACCTTAATTCATTACCAAAAAACCGCAGCAAATTCATCGATCGATTTATAATTGGAGAGATCTCGATCATGTTTGTTAATTTTTACTTTCATAGAAAAGAAAATGTATATTTTTGCCATTGGCTTTAAATTTCTTTGAATGTGAAACAAGTATGTATGATGACATATGAGTTTGTATCTAGATTATCATGGTAACTTA